GAGGTGTACAATCACAGTTTACTTTTCCATTTGCTGGCGATTCTGACGTTCGTTTCGTCTCCTGAGCTTCTTCTGACAGAAGCATCTGGGAAGGCTTTAGCCGCTTCTACATGCTCTTCACGTAAGTTGAGCATCAGCGTCTTGTCTCGAGCGTTGCCACTTCTGGACCACGATAGGGTGCCCTGCCGACTGGACGCTTCCCCCCATCCATCGATTAATATCAGAGTCAAAGCTTACCATCGAAACGAATCGTAGAGCGATTGGTTTTCTCACTGGCGGTGTCGGAGCGTCGACTTTCAGCCTCCGAGTTGCTCCATCCTGCAATTCGGCTCACCAGTCTAGCCCGCTATTCATAGTTATTTCGATGCGTTTTTTGGAAGGGGCACGATTTCGTTCGGTTGTATTCGTGTTTGTGTGTGTGTGTGTGTGCGTGTGTGTGTGTGTATGTATATGTGCGTGTATGTGTATATGTGTGCGTGGGTGTGTATGTGTGCGTATGTGTGTGCACAGGAAAGGAAAGGGAAGTCGTCCTCGAGAGCCCGAATACTTGGCAGTCGGAACACCGTGTGATCGTTGCCACTAGTCTAGGATGCAGTAGATTCGCTGTGCAAATAGTGGCTGTACAGCAGAATTCTGGTTCCTTGGGCTTCAGGGGCTCAGCCTCACGTCGGGGATGCTTCTTTCGCGCCCAGTAAGTGTCAGCATTTGTGTTAAAATTCTCCTCCGTCCTCTCCTTTATCGCCCTCTCCCTCTCTTCACGCAAGGTCAAGTAGGTTTGGGGAAAACCTCATTTCCCTCGCGTCCCTTACCCTCACCTCCTTTTTATAAAAAAAATTTTTTTCTTTTTTTATATCACGTGGGAAACCGCTGGCTAGATGATGAAAGCGTGTTGTTGCAACTTCTGGTTTAAGAATTTTTCAAATCCTTCGTTTTTGCCGTTTTATTTCCTCCTAGTATTCCCACTTGCGCGAGTGATGATGGCAGTGTAACGCGTTGATCCCCTGTCCGTTTTTTGTCCCTCTCCCTGCTTTCCTCCATCGATCTGTGGTCTTCCCTCATCGTAAGTACCAAAATACTATATAACATTGTTTTATGGACTGGTAAATATGGCGCATTGGTAAGTAGCGGTGTTCCCATGCTAGAAATTATGGTTGATCCCGCCAGTTGGACAGTCATTCCCTCCAAAACCCGTTCATTAAATTTGTGCTGATATATACCAGAGACTCAGAACTGCCATCAGCTTGCTTCTAAGTAGCTCTCGAACTAGGTATTTATCGACAGTCCTCGTGGGAATGGAGCTGGTGGCATATTTTGTCACCTCGGCTATTCTTACAAGGAGGTTTTATCTTTTTTCGAGGTTTTTGAGGTTTTTAGCTCTGTACTAACTTTCACCAACTTCACTACTACGATATGTGATCGATAGTGGTCGAACAGCTTTCTGAATTCTGCTTGTTCGTTGTTCGAGTTTTCATCAAAAATCGCCTCGATTTGGGGCATAAGCTTTGTAGAGAAAAACTGTGAATTTCACAAGTTCTTCGTTCAGAACTGCTAGACTACCTCTTTTTTTCCATCTCTGTTTCGTTCAAGCACATACTGTGATTCTCCCAAACCGTGATTTATTGCGCATATATTTTGCGGCCACGGCGCTTCTCTTTTGCGGTTGCAGAGGTTCTGCACGAATTTTCGGTTTGCAGTTTGCGGGTTTCAAAATTGGCCGAAATGGCTTCCCTTTTGTTTGGAGTGCCATCAGCTGGCCAGCATCGATTATCCATGTTTCTGGACCTGGGAATATCCCCTCCTCTCCAGTGTTTCTTTCGCAGCTGCACAATAGCCGCAAAAAATTGATTCAAAAATTATCACTGAGTTATTGAGCAAGGGGAGGAGGGGGGCTGAGGCGCTCGTGCAGATGCACTTGCACACCGATGATCATCATTATCACCAGCTGCTGTTGCTGCTGCTGCTCGATTGCATTCCCTGGGAGGGCGCTCCCCTGCAGCACTCTGCCAGCCATGAGCACCAACACTTCTTATCTTCCAGTTCATCTTCTGTTTAGTTTACTTTTGCTTTTTTTTGAGAGAAAAAAAAAAAAACAAATTATCGCTAAGGATAATTCGTCCAACTGTACGAGCAGAGGGACCGTTTCGCAATAACACTGAGATGCAGTCAGATTCCAGACCTAACGGCGTGAAACTCTTTTTTTGATTATTTTTCCCAAATTGTTGTCCCGTCGTCTTTAAACATCAAAAAGTGCGGCCTTTACTGCTCTATCTGTCACTCATCGTTACATAAAATACAAATCAGTATTACTGGCTAATGTTTGAAATTTATTATTATTATTATGCCATAAAAACTGTGCATGTGAGATGTACACGAAGTTCATATATAGCTGCACTCAGCTTGTGAAAATGTCTCACTGATGCCCCGAGCAGTCCCTGGTATTCTTGGTATGTTTATATATATGTATGTATGCGGCTGCATCGATTTAAATGTTTTTGTTACCTTAATAGTCGTGGTATTCTTGG